CAAATGATATAGAGCCAAATGATATAGGCAGTATTTTGAGAAAGCCAGATATATCTAGGATACTTGTACCTGAAATGCCATCCATCCTTTAATTTGTACTTCACAATGCTCAATTTTGACAAAATTTTTTTGGAAAATGTTGGCATGATTTTATTGCTACCTACTGCCGAGATCATTGCAAAATTTGAAAAGGATGAAAAGAAAATCAGAAATTAAATGAAATTTCTAAATTTCTAGCAGGAATTAGATATTCCTTTCAGAGGTAGTATTAATAATTGCTAGTAGGTTTTATTGGTTTTTTTTTTTTTTGGGTTTTTCTCCGGTACCGGGAACCGAACTCACGACCTTGCGCTTGCCAGGCAGGCGCTTTGCCGCTGAGCTAAATCCCCAGCCCCGCTAGTAGGTTTTAAAGTCACTTATAACAGCATCCAATTAATCAGTTTATTAAAGAAAGCCATATCAAGTTTGGGTTGTTGGAAAGTGAATGTAATACTTTCTTCTCTTTGAATTATTCATATTAATAGTTCTTTGTAAACATTTTCAAGTATTATACATGCATATTTCAAAGAAAAAAATTAAAATAACTTTGAAGGAAAACAGTGGTTCAGTTGTAATTCACATTCATTTACATTATCAAAAAGAATGTGGAATATAGTTTGATTTTTTTAATTACATGATCAAAACAAATGTAAAATATAGCTGTATTCTTTAATTACATCACATATATATGGGCTTTATTAACTGTAATCACTATACGAAAGTAAGATACTCTTAGTAAAATGTCAAATCTTTCTCATTTTTAATCCATTCGTAGTCTAAATACTGCCTTTCTTTTTTTTGTTTGTTTGTTTGGTTTTGGTTTTTTTCCAGTACCGGGAATTGAACTCATGACCTTGCGCTTGCCAGGCAGGTATTGTATAGCTGAGCTAAATCCCCAGCCCCAATACTGCCTTTCTTACAGGTGTTTTATAAGATAAACCTATAATAAGATTAAATTTTTCTAAATACTTAACATCAAGAGTAGATGATGTTGCAATATCTACCAAAATTATACTGCTTTGCCTTATTTGTATTTTATTGTCTCTAGTTATCTAGTGTATTCTGATTTTCTTCTCCCACTTGTCATTATTCTGAAAAATTTGGTGGCCACAAGTCTTGCTTTTTACAGGGACTTAATTGTCTGAGTGAGTAGCTTGTTTCCTGTAAGCATATTTGGGATAACCAGGAGTTAATGGTTGTATTCTAGTAGTAGTTAAAAGTACACATTAACAGTTCATTGTTATTTAGACCTCTGTATGTTTTGTTTAAATAGGTGCAAATGCCATCCAGACTTATAAAAGTATTTATTGGCAATAGAACAGCCAATCAAAGCACATGGTTAGGTAGTGATGTCATGGTGTTATTTAATATTTTACCCGAGAACAGTGTGCAACAGTCTTCACAGCGATCCACATGCTTTCCACACAGTTGTCCTGTTTGGCCCCTCTTTGATCTATGTGCTTTTTTTTTTTTTTTTTTTTTAGCTGAATGCTGGTAAACGTCCTTTCTGACAGCCCCCTTTGCTCTTGCTTGCCATTATCTGCTGAAGTTCAGAAACCAGAGCATCACTTCAAACAAGAGAGTTAGGGAGTAGCCAGTCAGAAGAGATTCCTGAGGCATGCAGAGTTCTGGCATAATCATTCAAAGATGTTGGGGCAGTGCAGTGGGGGTGGAGGAGGTGTGCGTGAGTGCTGAGAGCGGTGGGGGTTGGCCTCTGGTCACTGGTAAATAAGTGAAGGCAGGTGCCAGAGAGTCTAGACACCGTGATTTCAGTCCTGGGTCTTTGGTATCTGATACCCAGTATGGGACTTGGCTGATTGAACACTATTGCATCTTCACTGCCCAGGCTGAAGCCCTTTTAGTGTTTTCTTATTAAGTTAGTAAAAGATAACATAGTTAAAACAGAGCAAATCAAGTTTCAGTATTTCCTAGTTTTGGCAATTTCACTTAACTTTTGATGTATGATGTTTCACTTTTCGCTGTTGCTCTTGGAGTTTCAGTGAACTTGTTTTTAAATTTGAATGCTTTAATTAAAACTGAAATATTTCTCTTTCTTACTATGAAAAAGTAAATCTATATATGAATCATTCCATTCATTTTTAGTCCTAATTTCTTATGGTTTTGAGGGTGAAAATTGAGTAAGTTTTTAAGGTTAAAATGTAGGTAGCTCTTGACTGTTATTACATGAGATTTAGCATGAAAATTTTTTTTAAGAATCATTTTTCAGGGGCAATTGGCATACCACAAAGGCTAATTTGATATAAATAATTTATGTTAGCAATAAACATTTTGCCTTATTAAAGCGTTTCTTTAACACATTTTCCTTATAAAAAGGTTTCTCATGGGCTACAAAGTTAAGTCCAAGGCCAGCCAGAACTGCACAGTGAAACCCTGTCTCAAAAAAACAAATACATAAATAGGTTTCTCAATAAAAATTCAGAAAAAATCTATAATATGTCCTGAATTACAATATGAAAAACATGCTAATTAATTATATTAGAGGATTTTTGCCTACAGTTTTACTAATTTGTAATTTAGTTTTTATTAATAATTGTATATGTAAGTACAGTGGTTGATAAAATATGTATAATAAATTAAGTTTATTTTATTTTTGCCATAGAGTCTTCTTATTCTACAGCATTATTGTTACTGTTTCTCTGTCCAGAGATTCCTTACTGGCAACATTCGTGGTTAAAGAACTGCCCTCTGGGAGAGGGCCCGACACATGCCACGCATTCAGCTGCTACAGTATTTTATGATTTTCAGCATATAGATTAGTACATTTTATTAGAATTATAACAATTGGATGATATTTATGTGGTTTCCTATTGCTCATTGCTACCACATTGACAATATAGTGATTTTGTGTGTTGACCTTGTATCCTTTTTCAAATTCAGAAGTTATCTGGAAATAGCATAGACAGCAATCAAAACAAGACTTAACAGAATAGAGTCTAAAATAAATAATATTTATTATTTACTAACTATATATAAGGCAGTATGCCTGATTCATGAAGGCCTGCTATTCTGTAAAGGTATTGCTCTGAAATAAAATTTTGAGGTTATAAAGCTTTGGAAATAACTTCCATCTGTTAGCAGTTTGGACTTACAGAAAAATATCTTTACATAATTTACTTTGTTAATTTGCTTATTTTCCAGTAATAGAAGACAAGCATCTCTAAACTGTTGCATTTATTATAGCATTGGTCTCTCACTGTGATAAGTCTAGATTACTGTTCCTTGACATAGTTGGTAAACCTTTTTCTTCTTAGCATTTTGTCTGCTGCATCTTAGACTCTCCTTTCTTTTATCATTAAATAGAGTTCATATTATACCCAGGCCCAAGTTACTGTATTTAGCCTACAGCTTCAGGTAGTAATCAGATATGACAGCTCCTAACATTATACCTCCAGTCCAGACATTTCTTCTCACTCCTACATTTATAACTTCCAACGGAGTGTTCTGCACTAGACTGCCATAGCAATTTGTAAATAGCAAGGTTTTTTTGTTTTGTTTTGATGATACTGGGAATCGAACTCAGAGCCTCATGCTTGTCAGGCAGGCACTGTGCCACTGAGCTACATCCCCTGGCCTGACTGTCATAGCAATTTAAACTCAATATATCTAAATCCAAAAGTACTAACTTCCTTTTACGGTTTTGTCCTCTTGGGTTTTTTATTTTGTTTTGCTTCCTTTTTGGCAGTACTAGAGATTGAACCCAGAGTCTTGTTCTGCCACTGAGCTATACCCGCAGCCTTCTCCAACTTTAATTTCCCTTTCTTGTTATATGGTAGTACCAGCCTCTATCTCCCAGGTCAGTGGAAGACCCTGAGAGTCGTCTTTGAGTTTTCCTCTTCCTTAACTCCAACCTCTAGTCAGTTATCAAGTCCCAATTTGATTCTGTCTCCTAAACATATCTCCAGTGAGTCACTTTGTATCAGTGCTTATTGCCCTACAAGTCTAGGCAGCCATCATCTCACCTGGACTTTTCCTGTGGCCTCCTAGATGGCTTCCCACATGCTATGCCATGATTCAGTCTGTTTTTTACACTGGCCAAACCTTTTGAGGATAGCAGTCTTATCCTGACACTTTCTTACTTAGACCTGTTTAATATAGTTTCCAGTTATCCTTAGGATGAAGACCCAAATCCTTAACTTGTATTTCAAGACCCTGTATGATCTGGCCTTTGGCTTCTTATTTCTAAGCCATTTATCATTCTGCACTGATACTCTCAGTTTTTTCGAACGGTTGTGTCCTTTTCTGTATTGTGTCCTTTGCAGAAGCTATTTTCTTTACTTGGAATGCTCAGCTTGCAGGTAATTCCTTAAGTGCAGAGCTTTTATCTAACATTTTTTTTGTATTCTACACTGTACAGTACTTGGAAGTTTATATTTAATGCTGAGCATCTAGTAGTTCATTCAGTCATTAAACAGCTCCCCAGTTTTGTGTTGAAATATAATTACATTATATTATTTTCATTGTTCAATCTAAGATAACATTTTAGAATTTTTTTTTGGTAATACTTGCCCTGTGCTTTTTGATAGTTAATTAAGATGTTTTCAATATTCATATGAATAAATAGATCTGGAACAAAAGTGTTTATTTTTTTAAAAAAATTTGTAATGCATAATGCAGACACAAGAGTGCACATAGTGTTTCATATGATGATCTAGATCATGCAAAAATACTCTATTTTAAAGCAGGAAACAATAGGAAAAGAAGAAAAAAAGAAAAATGATTATATCTGAGGAATATGATTGACTGGAGGGAACTTTCTAGAATGAATGGAGATGCTCTGTTGATATGTAGTGTGGGTTGTGCAGATATATGCGTCTAAGTTAATCAAATTGTACACATAAAGTGCATTTTACTGGGTATAAATGTTTTATAATGACTCATAAAACCATGAAACTTGAAGTAACCTTAGTTTTAATGGGGAAATGTTCTGCTTTGTCTTCTAGGAAATGGGCTGAAGATGCTCATGCAAAGGGCTCTGATGCTCAAGGATCCTTTGCTCATGAAAATGATTAGAAATATTTCCCAGCATGATGAACCCACCAAAAATCTGTTTACTGTAAGTATGGTTTTTGGCTTTTTGTCTATTAAAATAGACTGCGAATTGGTGTTATAAATGGGTATATTACTGTTACTAAGCTCTCATCAAATATTTATTCATGACCCAAATTGGCTCCCCTGTTAGAAACTTCTAAGTAAGGTTAGCTCTTAGAAATCCCAGTCTACTTTTTCTGGCTGTTGTTTTTATGTTATCATCTCTATCCCTAAGGTCTCCACAGCCCCTGTATCTTCTTACATTAAGCCATCTCACCACAGGATCCCTTAACAGTTTACTTCAAGAGTGATAAAAGAATCACACCCGATCTTTTATTTTTCTTCCTATCATATTATTAAGTTGGTCTCCTCATAAATAATAGTTTAACTATATATAAAACTGTATTTTATCAGGATTATGTTGGGGACCTTGCAGCCCAAATCTCTAATGATGAAGAGTTTGTGATTGAATGCTTTGCAACTCTTAGCAAATTTGACCATTCCAAACTTGGACTGGGAACAGGGTCTTTCAGAGTGCAAGTTGGTTCCATACCTCAAGAGTAAACTAAAACAGGTCTGTGCTAAGCATCTTACTTCTGCGTAATCACTAAGCTATTCTTGTCTCTTGTGGGGAAGGCTGTGAGAACAATGTTTTGTTCTGTTCTCCTAGAATGGTAGTCAGGAGGTACACTCTTAGATGTATATTCTTTTTTCTTTTTGCTAACAATGTTTTCCTAATGTAATCGTTTCCCTTTCCCTTCATACCTTTCTTATTGTTTTGTAGTCTTTTTAATCCTGTCATTTTTTTTAAATTACCAAATGCCATCCCCTTCTGTATGTATTCTCACACAGACACGCACACACACGTGGACACAGACACACAATTTTTGAAGCATTTGAATAAGTCTTTTATTTTCTATGTTATCATTCAGTTGTATTTTCAAAGTTGTATGTACACCTTTCTGCTGCCTCACCACCACAGACTGTCATCAACCATCATGGAAAATTTGGAAAAAGGACAAATTTATAAGTGTGTCATAGATGCATTGGAACTAATATAAAGTTTTCAATATTTTTGCTGTGTATTGGAGTTTAGATAATATAAGTGGACTTGGATCTGGACATTTTGGTGAAAATGTTCTGATTACACTTTCCTCAGTGCTTCAGAAAATGACCTTGTTTTAGAAGTGGTTATAATGATAGGAACTGTATCCAGGGGTGATTCTTGTGTGGCATTGCTAGCCAAATCCAGGAGAATCTAGCTCCTTATTGAATTACTGAATAGTAATGATCATATTTATTTTCATGCTAATGTCTAAGTAGATTATTAGCTAAAATTTTAAATATAAAATGAAGAATCTTTAGCATGAAATAGTATCTGACTTGTTATATTAATCATATCTATTTAACCTACATAGTTAAAAAAATGAATTAAAGGACTGCTAAGTAGGATTAGATAAAATAGTACCAAACAGCTTTACATTGCAAAGTGTTGCTGTAAAGCATTGAGAACCACTTTCACAGGTACAAGCCTCCTCTCACCAGCCTTGAACAATTGATATTCTATCATTTCTTCTTTCTGTACAATTTTGTGTTGGTTTGAATTGGATTTCCTCTCTTATACAAATCTTCCATATAATAGTTTGAGTCTAATGGCAAAGTTCATTTGGAAGTCGATTTTAAACAGATTCCCTTCTAGATCCAGAGATACTATCCTTTCAACTTCCTGCAGTGATGAAAATGATCTGTATTTGTGCTGACCAACATATGTCGTTTGCTGAACACTTGAAATGTGGCTTTCAGACAGAACCTGAATTTTTAATTTACCTTAAATTAGCTAGGGTGGCTTATGGCTGTGGTATTGGACAGTGCAGGCCTGGAGTCTTCCTATTACATTTGTATCACTCTTAGAGGCTGGGGCTCACTGTATTTCATACTGCATACAAAATTTATCTGAATCAAATATTTGATTAGGACCAAATTCTCTAGCATCTTACACATAAAAAGTAGCTAGTAATACAAACATTTTAAATGCTAACATGAGACATCTGAGAATATACACAGTTTTTCTTCCTGAGTCTCAGTCCTTCCTATGCCAGGCACAATATGTATATATTTTATATTAATTTTAGTAGATTTATTTGAAGTATAATACATAAAAACAACTACATAAATTATAGAGAGCTTAATGGATTTTCAAAATGAGCACACCCATGTTGCATTAGCTATTTAGGAAAATAAAATGTTACTGGTACCCTAGAAGTACATCTCCTCCCGGTCATTACCACCTTCTCCAAAGAAGTTTCTCTTTTTTTATTATTGACATGTTAGTTTTGCTTGGGTTTGACCTTTATGTAAGTGGAGTGGAATTTGGTTTATTATGTCCCACATAGAAGGAATATAGTATTAGAAATAATTTTAAAAGACAATAGGTAGTTGGAAGGTCAGATTTGAATAAAATATAACTGCATGAGAATGAAGATTTCATTGAGAATTGGAGAAAGGTGAAGCAAAATAATATGAATCTCAGAAATCTAGCCCACAGTGATTTAATTGAGATAGCTGAGATGTGGGTAAAGTGAGCTAACAGAACCAGAATATTTTTCTGTGTTTTGATGTTCTCTGATGTTAGATGACCAAATGCAGAGGCTATAGAACATATATTTTAGGAAATATTTGGATTTTTACTATTTAAAAACCAGTTAGGGTTATATGAGTTTAGGAGCACTGTGTACCAGAGAGTAATAGACTTTGAGCCTAAGTGATTTTAGGAAGAGAGTAAGAGCGATCATTTGGAGCAGACTGAACTTTAAGGGCCCAGCAATTTACTCCATACATCTAGTTACAGTCTATGTTGACTAGAAAATCTAACCTGTCGTCAAACTGTTGCCAAGAATTTATAGCAAACTACACTATTAGTAAATCAAATTTCATCATCAGGACCTAAAATTAGACATCTGTAAGTAATTGTGCTTTAATCATTACATGTTAGCTAGTGAATATCAGCTATTCTACTAAAATATTCTTTGCATAATATTCAACATTTACAATTACCTTTTATAATTATATAACATTCTTCTTACATTATAATTAGACTAAAGCTAAAATAGTTATTTTATGACAAACATAAAGTTAAATTTTCAGAATATTATTCAACAAAGGGAAATACCATTTATAATTGTTTAATTTCTACCAATATCTTAGAATTTAGAAGATACGATCTTCAAGAATTGTTTCTTATGTGAAATCAGCATTATAGAAAGAAAATACAACTAGACTTATTTTAGAAATCAGAATTGTGTGAAGAATTCTTACGATGAACAAAAAAAGCCCAAATTGTAGTAAATGTTGCCATTCGTTTCACATTGGGAACACAGAAGTTCATTTCATCAGTTTTCACTTGTGTTGGCAAAAGATAGTGAAGGCCACAGTTTCTATTCTCTTAGCCCTGTTTTGTCCTTCATTTCTGCTGGATATTACCTGTACTTTTGAGGTGGATTCTCTTAAGTAGCTAGGTGTAATCTCAGAGATTATAACTTTTATTCAGAATTTTAAATTTTTATGTTGAGCATAGATCAGAATGACATTTTAAAAAATCATTTCACAACGTTATTGGAAACACATTGTTTGTCTTCTGCTAGTGATTTCATTATAAAACTGGACAATCATCATCAAAGCTTTGCTTGTCAGTTTCCCACATTTTAATCAGAAATTCGTCTGCCTTCCCAATTTCACTACCTCGTTGCCAGTTCAGAAATAAATCAATATGTGACATTTAGCTTTGAGCTCTTAAGTCAAATGAAACTGTATTAAATATTTGCTCTACCAAGATATTTCATGTTTGTAGCCCTCAGGTCACAGGGTGTATGAATATGGAATATTTAATACTCCTATGGAACACTTTCACGGCTCATGTACTCTTTTCTGATCGCTGTGCTATTGTATGTAAAGTACATATGGTTGGAGATTTAAAGTTGCACCTATGTGATTATCTTACCTGAAGCAGTGAGGAAAGAAGAGAAGTTGTCATTCTGTTATGCATTTCCTTTAGCATACTCTTCATCTACTCTACCTTCTTTTAGGGAGACATGGATAAAAGAGGATGTGTTTAGATTTATACATTATATAAGGATAGTTCTAGTTCACCTTTAATATTTAAAAACTGGTATAAAAATTTGAATATTTTATTATATAATACAGTTTTTTTATTCTAATTACTTCTAAACTCTAGACTCAAGTCTCTCATTTTAACACAGAGTCATTCCTGCCCTGTGTCTCCTTTCTCTTCTGGCTACTGTCCTTTCTTTCCTCCCTAGAACCAACATTTTGAAAACTAGGCTGTATTTTACTTCATTTCCTTATTCCCCTTATCAGCCTTTCAACCTGTACTAATTCTGGCTTCTGCCTCCATGTTGCAGTAAAGTGGTGCTTACTAAAGTTACACTGACCTTCATTTTTCTAAATCTAATGAGTATTTTCAGGCTTTTCCTACTTTGTGATCCCACTCTTAATGAAAATTAAAAATCCTAATCAGCATTAAAATAGAACTTATCTGTGACTTATTTGGGTTTGGACTCAATTTGAAAATTAATCTCAGACCAGAGCCACCATCTTTGCTTGCTGAGGAGTAAGCTATTTTAATGCATCCTACACAGACAGCTCTCAGTTACATTTGGGAAATGGCTGCCAGTGTCTAATTCTTCGCATGCAGACTGTATTACTGATCACTAATGAGGGGCTCAGCTTGTCCTAGATCTTTTTTTCCAGAATAAAATGATAAAATGTATGTATTTGAAAGTAAGAAAAAATTCGATTAGACACAGCAAAGATGGTGAAACACTGGAAAAAGGTTATCAAGGGAAGATGTGAAATCTCTGTCCATTTAACACTAGTAATGGCTGTATATCAAGCTTTTAAAATTGTTTTAGGAATGCACTGGAGTGGAGTTCAGTAGAGTGTTTAGGTAGCATGTGTGAGGCCCTGGGTGTGATCCCAGCACCTTAAAAAAAAAACCTTTCCTAGAAT